AATTGTATCTCCGATAAAGTCATTTGAAATCGAATGAGGCTTAATTAATAAGACTATCGAAGCACCTTTTACCTCGTCTGTCAAATTATGATGCAACAAAAGTATCGTTCTGTTAGCTTGAGTTTCACCAGCGAAAAGAATGCACTAACAAGCGGTTTCTCATCGAATGTTTTGAACGAGAGGCTAGTTCGGATCGTGTGGGGCGGAGGTCCAAAGAAGCTTTGATTAACGTCGTTGTGAGGCTTAATTGCTTTAATTGCATTAATATTTATCGTGATATTCTAAGGCTCGTTTCAACTGTGTGTGAGTTTAGGCAGACTAAAACAGACAGACGTACATTCTTTCAATCTATGTCCCGAGAAAAGAATACACATTATTGAAACTAATCCGCGGTACCGGTACTTTTGTAATTATTTCCACAAATTCAAACAAAATCTAAGGGGATCAAAGGCATTCGCATTTTTGGCCAAAACGCGTTCAGCTTTTAAATAGGAAATGTACCCTTCTCGTAAAAATGTTAGTCGTCAGACGTGATGTTTGAGGGGAGGGAAGTCTAGTTATCTTATTAATTAGCAGGCGAGACGCGGGAAAATTTTTCGTTTGAGCCTTTGAGACTCTTCATAGTTCACACCTGCGAGAGGTAATTAGGTGCAAAGAAATTAGCGACACTGCAGCTCGCTCAACGTAAACATGCTTTTTGATTTCCACCGAGTTTTCTTAATATTTGAACTATCTGCTCCTAAAATGCTATAAGCTCATCACTGTAATCAACAAATTTCCATACAGGCGATAAATCTTTCGTGATTGTAAACGAGAATAAATTAAGAAAAATTACAAGTATCAAATCGAATCAAAGTATTATATTCTCTTTTCGAATCTCGACTATTTAAATAAGTTTAAAAAAATATTATAAATATTCATCGTCCAGTATATTCTTCACCCTTTAAATGGCAAAGACTATACGAGGAAATAAGAAGAATGTAAGCTTTGTGACTAATATTTTTTCTGTGGCGCTAAATGCCTGCGAACATATTTAACACGAAGCGTGTAAAAATGTTGTGTGTGCAAGAATTTTATTTTCCTTCGAAAATTACGCGTTCAAAGTTCACTCGCAGAATAATTAAGGCAGTACGGTGGAATTAGTTTTAAGGTCGAGCGTTATTTATTGAATGTTTTAAACATCTCATTTATGGGGTGGATGGGAATATTAATATAAATATAGAAAAATCAATAATTTTGCTCGTACGGTTGTGAGGAGAAACACGTGTTTTCGTATCAAACTTATAGCAACTGACCGTAACAAACTGGAAGCGCATATCGCTCGCGCGTCGCTTTCAACTCGTACGCCTTAGTAATTAGAGAGAAAAATATTTAATTAGCATACGTTATTCTGCGCAGCCACAACAAAATCATTTACGTTCGCGTGTTCATAGGAATTAAAAAGAAGTCGTTTGCTCGAAGCGCGAAGAGCGGTTGAAACACCTCCGCTTTAGACCTTAATTGCTTTATTTATGAAAATTACGTTTAATTAGACGCTATTTGTTTTTCAGTGCCACAATAAATTTGCACGAAATCGTTTGCCGTCTTTCAATGCTAACCGAGTTTAACCAAGTTACTTATAAGCTGTTCCACATGGAAATAAGCTCGGCCTTAACAATGTTTTTATACTTTATTGACCTAACCGGAAAAGCGCAAGGACAAATTAGTTTTTCAGTTAATATTGAAATATTCTCTCAGGCTGTGAGTTCTTACACAATTTCCGGAGAAAATAGCTCGCAGAAAAAATATTCATGATCATAATATTCAACTAGCAAATATTTTAAACATATATTTCAAAAAAGGGCATTTAAGTTATATGAACGAAGCATTTGGAGACAACATAGAAATAAATTTGACGATGTTCAGTAAACTAGCTTTCAATAAACCCATTGGCTTAATCTGTTTCTAAGCAGCTTAACTCTTAAAACTTAATCAATTGAATTTTGATCAGATGTTGACCGAAAAGATTTTCAAACAATGTGAAACTTTCTCGATAGACAATCTTTGTCTATTATCAAATATAAAATATTTCGTGAACAGTAGGTATAAAGGCTTTCGGAAACGCGCGCTGTTTGTATACTAGTCAATTATAAAGTAATTTCGAAAACAAATAACATCGAATTAAATTGTGAAGAGGACATTTCATCAGGGGCGATTTGAATTCAAATTTTTCAATAGATATTAAAATAACTAACAATATTGGTTCCATTCAAACGAGCGATCGCAAATCTGCTCAAACACCGCGTGCAATATGAAAACCAATTAGTTGCTCAAATACGGGGTGCTTTATATTTAGTTCACAATCGACGAGAGCCTTCGACGAGTGTGAAACGTCTATTCTGGATATATATTTTTTATATTGTTGAATCGACCTTATATTGCAAGAACAATAAAATTTGTTCGATGATTCTCAAGACGTGAGGCAATTAAAAATACTAATGTCCTATACTCAACGAGGGTGAGATCTGTGGAGCAAAAATTTGAACGCGAAGAACGAACAGGTCGTGTGCGGAGCGACGTCACGCGAGTGCAGTGAAACCCGATCGAGTGTCAGACGCAATTGATCGGTAATCAGAGGGGGAGTGCCCTAATGAGGTGTAGCTTCACACCTCGGCCTCGCCGGTTCACACCTCGCGACCGGATCGCATTACCACCGCATGTCCTCTTTACGTTCACTAGCGTTCTTCACCATTTTACCGCTTCCTTATCCTGATTTGCCATCAAACTGAGACGGGACTCGAATCCACGACCCAGAATACATCGTGCCATTCGTTCGTTCAATTGTTGATACAAACTCTTTTAAATAAAGGTGGATCGATTATTATATGATAGCTAACCTGGATTCGCTTCATTTTTATAACTCTTGTCAACGTGTAATTCTGTTAGTATAATGATACATATTGTTTTGGTATGGTGGTGTAAGTGAGGTGTGTAGCCCATTAGAATTAAAAAAAGAATTAAAGAAATGAAAAATTATTATACAAAACGAAAAGAAAATGGTGAAGAAGAATTAGGGCGTCAACGCTCTAAAGCTTGAATTAAAGTCAATTGACCAAGTATATAAATAATTGATGGGTTTCCTTATTTCATATTAGAAGACAGGTCACTAATATTCAATTAGAAAATCAAAGTTTGTCCCAGTTTTTTGTACAGTACATTTCTACAATGACTACTAGAACTGTTATCCACCGGTAGATATTGTTTGGACTGCAACTTTTATTAAATAGTTTGTCCAAATCGAATGTTTGTGGCATTAGATTTGGACAGACAGGCCATCGTCGCTGCGCCGTCATTGCACTTGCACGCAGCGCAGCGTCAATGAACCGTCTGATTGTGAGGTTCGAGCATAAAATTGATAAGAGCGAGTTGTAATTACGAGTCGAGTCTTGTCGAGTGCGATGTAACGAAGGTGCGAGTGTCAAATACTTAACTACTTTAATTGTTCGCGCCTCACTCGAGTGCGTCATTTCACTCTGTATTGTTTGCGTAAATAATTGTAACACCCTGTACAGAATACGCGAGGCTCACCGTGAATACTCAATTTTAATGCGCACACGTAAATCGTATTTGTAGGAAGACAAATCGTCGCTTTCAATTGTTTATTTTTTCTAAATATCTGCCCGAGTTGATTTATCAATGCGATTCAATTAAAAAAAATAAAATAACTATTATATTTTCGGTGTCTATAAATTGAAGGGCTCCTTTAGTTAAAACGTATTAAATTTATTTAAAACTGACAGTGTGAGAAATTAGTGAAATTTGAACATAAGTTATGTTCAAATTTCACTAATTCTAAAATATCACCGTTAATTATGAATCATTAACGTTGATTTATATAAAACCTTTGTCCTGTTTCAACAACAAGGATTCTTTAAAGGACAACATTAATTTTAGATCAAAAACGGAAAATGGTATTTGGATTATATCGATCAAACCCACTTAAATAAGAAGTATTGAAATAAATCAATGAAAATAGCTTTCCGCTGATCTATGAGACAGAATCTATTTACAATAGGTGGTCCAGCGAGCCACAGGGTCGCCAATGCCTCGGCTTATTTGGAAGGTGTTATTTTCATCTGCTCAGTGCACTCAAGCTTAATCGGTGTTGTTTAAAAGATTGCCTCTTACGGGAGTCGAGAGTGTGGCGATTACGAGTAAGCTGCTTAAGTACAAAATTGCACAAATAACGTTTGCACCCCAAAACGGACCCCTTTTCAGGGCCCGAAAGCCTGATTGCACACGGCGGCCGTCGCTATGGCAACGCGGTCAATAACCCACGCGATGCCTTCTCTATTAAATACATAGCGTCATCCAACAATGTCGGTCTTCCACTGCAAGGCTACCGAGTTGTATTGACCTAATGATCAGACAATAGACAAACATCCACGTGAAGACAAATAAATGGGAAAGAAGAGAACTTCTTACTTAGATCTATTAATAATCTACTAAGTACGTAACAAAATGCCAATTTGTGAACCTATGTGATATCATTTTCGACGTACTTGATTTTGATTTGATGAAAACCGAATAAGATAAGAAACATACCTAGTGTCGTGCCTAAACCCTTCTGCCCGTCTTTAGGGCAACGGCTAAAGTTATCGGTCCACAGTTCACTATCAGTATCAAACGTCACATTTTGTAAATAATACAAAAGGAAACAAAAACATTCGCGTGCCGGTACACTTCAACGAATGCGACCGCGGCGTTACAAACGTGCACACAGACAAACATAGCCGCGCACCCGAGGTTCGGCTCCTCGCGCGATGTTCGACCCTAACGCTAGCGCCTTTGCGCCGTTAGACATATTCAGCTGGAAAAGTTAACCTTGCCCCTGCGTTACACATGAATTCTATTTTCAAATTCTGCTGCGGAAAACTGACTTTTCTACTCTAGATGTAAATGCCAATTTCCTTTATAACCTCGTCGAACGACTAAACTTCGACTTTAGCGACGTACGAATACTACTCAAACTCCCGAAGTGCGGCCACACAATGCGCCACGCAATGACGTTTCGTAAGGGACGCAGCTACGGCTCGGTCGAGGGGCGCGAGAGAGACGGCCGTTCCCCAGGGAAGGTACGGTAGGGGTGCATTTTCGTCTGAAACGTCAGGTTATAAAGAATCGATGTAGAAGACGTCGGAAATTTATTGTATTTTCACAATTTAAACTTTGCTTTCCAAACGTTTTCAATAGAGCAGAAATTGCTTCGAAATTGTTGATATAACTTTAAAAATATGCAGTTATTTAAACTGAAAGAGGGATTTTAAAAGCTCACGTCATATCCAGTCAAATTATACTATATTTATTTACGTCAAAAACATTTTGTTTGTCCTCTGTAAAACGCCCACTAGACTAAGGATAATTCAGCGTCTAACCAATTGAAAAAATTACGTAGTTGTTTCGAAGTTCCATGGCCAGAGTGGTAAAGAGAAGAGGCGAAGGGGGCAAATTGATTCCCGTGTTTTAGTTCCGGTATAGGAAGGTGATGTGCTTCCGTGAATATAAGTCTTGTAGGAGCGCGGAATGCGACGAGTTCATAAGGCATTCCCTTTGCTACCGCGGCCGAGCCGACAGTTGTTAAGGCAGCGGGACACACAGCTCTTTTCGAATATTCCAAAAGTTTCCACCCACCCTTTAGTCTACCAACCCTTTGGTTGAAAAGAGTTTCTAAGTTAGAGACAAATTAATTTTGTTTTAACGTGTTTTCTTATATATACGGTAAACGGGACTCCACGTGACGTGCGAGCCGCGCCCGGTGCCTTCGCAGGCTTATTTCGTATCGCGCGCCCCGTCTCCGGCCTCCACTTATAAACGAGCCTCCTTATGACGTCATTCCCGATTCCTTAGCAATAGTCGAGTTGTTATCAAAGCGTTCTTGTTCGTCTACAGTTCCGAATGAAGAGTCTTAACTATGGAGGTTTTCGGGTTAATGGCTACTACACGATGGCGTCGTCGAGCCTATGGGCTTGTTCTAATTTTCAACTCCTTAAGGGATTACGTCGATGAGGTCTCGTCTGTATTTCGCAGATCTGAGAATTCGACGAGGTAAATGCGACTTCGCGTGCTGCAAATGTACGTTCATCGGTCGATCAGAGGCCTCTAAATTGAAATTGTTCGTAGCTCCTCGTAGCGGTATCTACGCGTCAGCAACACAGCCATAGCGACTACAATGGTTAAGAGAAACTGTATTAAAAGAAGCAGAGCCCTTAAACGAGAGTCGCTCTTAACGTTTTTTCCTTCACAAAGCTTCTTTTAGTGTATGTTTGAAGTAGTTTCGCGTCAACGAGCAGTCGCGGGGTTATCATACGGCACTTTTGATGTGCCGACGAATATTCCTATGGAGGGATTGTGTACTTTGCAATAGAATTACTCGTGGCGACACCGGCTGTGCCTCTCTTTACTTTTAAGAGGTCGTTTGACAGTCGAAGTAGCACAATACTGAGCGTGGGGAGACTGATAGCATCATTTCTTGTTATGCATTAAAAGTTGTACAAATATAATATTGGTACTTTCCTGTTACACGTCAGTCTATTGCCGTTTTCGTGTTCTTTTTTTGCCAATAGCCAAGCTCAGCTTTAAGCAAAATATATACTGACTTTTTCATAGAAATATTACTAACGTCCTAATTTTAACTCTAGTATTACTTGACTGACTCTCTTAAATAGATTAAATACAAAATAGTCGCAAGTGCTGATTTTATTAATTATTCGTTATTTTGAAACGTTTTTTTCTCAAATATCAATATTTTTGTGTTAATTATTAATTGATATGTATGTTTGAAACGTTTACGCAACATAACATTTCATTAAGCGTAAACACAATAGTTTATAGTAAACAGATTGATAATTATAATTAGTTGCAAATTCGATGGGTATTATATTCTAAAAACAAACAATTTTAAATACACAAACACATAATTGGTGGCGACCTTAGCAGTTCTTACATTAATTAGTTATTAATTAAATAATTGGAACTTAATAACAAGATGATGCATGGCTTTTTCTATTGCTTAATCTTTTAAAAACGCTAAGATCACAATGTTTTAAATAACTTATAAGTTTTGGTTTCTTTGATAGCTTTAGGTAAGTTATTATATATAAGATATATAGTCTGCCGTACATAATGTTAGTTTTACCATAATTAGTGCGTGGTATATAAGTCATTAAAGTTTCTTAATTTAATTTTATGATCATATCATCTACCACGGTTATATCGATGATGTATATCTATACTATTATTAAAAAGCTGAAGAGTTAGTTTGTTTGTTTGTTCGTGCTAATCTCAGGAACTACTGATTCGAATTGACAAATTATTTTTGTTACGGTTAGAGCATTTATCTATATTATGCATTAGGCAATGAAATGCTTTAGGCTGCGAACAAAAGAAGCGAAGATACAGTGGGAATATGGAAAGAACGGGTTCCCGATGCGTGCGCTGAGAAAATGTTTCAAGGGTGCCAAAAATATGTATGAAAAATGATTCCTCTTTCGATGATCGAAAAAAATATGCGATATGTTTATTTTAAGATTAACTTGCAAGAACGACGGAACGTGGACAGCGTCGCGGCTACAGCTAGTATTTTATATACTTGGGTAATATTGGTGGTTGTGGTGGGTAATATTACGTACGTATGATTAAAATTACATTATTACCCGCGAACGATCTCGAAGGCTTATCTAGACTTTAATATTTTAATAAAAATCGCCTTGCTACAGATAATGGTAATCCAACCACAGAGAATGAAACAAAGAGACATCAAAACCTTTTTCAGACAAGTGTGACAAACACAACAAAAGAATATTTTAATATTTTTTAACGAAATCAAAAGAGTCGCTCAAATTGGGAGATGTCGATATCCTTTTGAATTCGCGTTCGCTGCGAAAATAGTTTTCCAACTCAATAAGCAAGTTGTAATGTCAGTTCGTTTGAGTGACTTTATCTCTTGGGTGTGTGTTTGTGTCTTTTTAGTATAATAAGTGGTATCTGTCAGTCATAGTTGGAGGAGGCGACGGACTAAAGCGGCTATTGTTGCATCTGAACGCGCCCTTGGTTCTCAATACCACCCGCGACGTATTGCGAATTGTCACCAGTAGATAATGATTACACATGGATGCGTACTGACATTTTAGACATGTTGGTCCTTCGAGCAGGACGACGCCGGGGGTCAGAATGACGATAATCGCACTGTACAGAGTCGAGAGTAAAAGAGCTCTGAAGTGCTTGTTCCATCGAGAGCTCGTTCTCCTCTCGCCGGCCTAAACTCGGGTATCGAGTGCGTCCGGTTCCGAACCATACGTTTGAATAGAATTTTTCATTGATGAAATAACATAAAGCAAGTTTTTGATAAATTCGCCGATTCACTAAAAACAAGCCTAAGCGAAAGCTCCGCCATTACGTAGCCTGCCCTTTTACGGCATTGAACTATCAGTAAAATATTTAGGATTGAAAAGAGGGAAATATTTTTTTAAAATGTAACTCTAAGCTCAAAGACCAGGGCAATAGTTTTAAGTGGGCGGCCGAAGCGGCGCAATCAAAACGCGCGGTGCAGATCAAAGGCTCGCTTAATGGCTTTTAAGCGGGGCGCGGGCGGGCGGCGGCGCGCGGAGGCGGGCGGGTCGCAGCTTCAAGTAGTTAGGGCGAATTGTTGCGTACACTCGGTTTTGTTTCGGCCTCGTTGTCTAATGAAAGTCACTCGTGCCTCCGACGTACCACCGGTGCGAGGAGCGAGCCGCCTTCTGGATTCGTTTTCCATTCGGAGTGCGCTTCGAGTAGCCCATTGTTTCATTGCGAGGGTCGGACGAGAAGAAACCGCTGCTCCTCAGAACCGGTTACTACCATGGACACTTTTCGTTTCTAAATCTCCATTTAAATGAATAGTGAGATGAAAGCGTATCTCGCTGACGTCTCGGGACTGACCTCACTCCGCAGACTCCTCGTCAGGTTGTTTGCGCGAACAAATTAACTCTGAGAACACTACGCTCTTATTCTGTAAATATCGTCTCCGGTATGAACACAAAATAATTAAATATATTCACATTATCCATGTCACATTAGCTGTCGCTCAAACGGAACTTCTTCGTGATCATAATTATTATGGGTAAAAAATAATTAAATTTTCTCATAAACAATAATAGGCACTTTTACAGTTTACTTCTAATTAATTGGTTTAAAGCCCGTACGTTTAGTTTGTTACGGTATTGAACGCTATGTTTTGTCAGTGTGCAATTATAATTGCGATTTATGGTTCATAGTTTATTAAATGTAATCGGACTTTTAAGCGTGTCACCTCTGCATGAAGATAATATGACTTTATAGAATTATAGGTTGTTAAGTGCCACAAATGTATCAGGATAATTGGATAAAATTTGCTGCGAAGCTTAAATCAATCCAATTAAGGATATTTTGTCAGGGCTGGAGTGTGGCGAACAGCGATCTGATGGAAATGATTAATTGGATTGTGATCCTTATTATCGCTCGCTGCGATTGTCGAAAGTATCCCGTCTGTCCGCGAATCATTTCGATTCCATTTAAAAAACTCGACATTTGTATTCCACTCAGACGATGGTGGCCATTCAAAGTTGAAACGCTATCAAAAAATATCAAGAGATCCGCTGTCATCCTCTAATGGCGTTATTTTTGGACCACGTGTGAAAATCGAAGTACTGAATTAAGTAAGAATTATAATTTATTATAAATGTCGGTAGTATGATTTCCCGTCGATCTCGGAATACGGCCAGCGTCGCTACGTCGCTATGTGTATCGCGACCCACATCCTTTCAGTTCATTTGCACTATCTCTGTTTGCCGTCGGAATGTTCTGCAGATATCATCCGTCTTACAAAATACTCTATACGAATCCGTAGCCAGTTTATTTTTTCACTTTATGACTTAACACAATGACAGCAATCAACAACAAAAATGAATCGTAAAATATCTACAGCATCACTCAAATTACTAGACGACCACAGTTCCACGCCTCAATAATAATATTAACTTAAAAATAAACTAGATCAAATAATAGCCACGGGATTAACGCTCCTATTCGCGGGTGATTAAGGCAGTAATCGTCAGGCCGTTAAGTATTAGGGGTATTCGCTAATATTGACAGAAAAGCCAATTTCCGGCGGAACGTAGCGCATTCCGCCCAATTTGCTTGTAATCGCTACGACTCCGCGCTGTGCGCTTGTGTACATAGTGCGACGAGAGACGTACGATTACTTTAATTGTCACCACTGTGCAGGCTCACTTGTAGCTACTAACTGTACTAAGCACGAAATTCGTGTGTTCTCAAATTTACTATAATATGGAATTCTAATTAAGGACGAGCTCGTCGGTGTAATTTAACGGGTCCTGGGTTCGATATTTTTATAATCAAATTTTAATTTTTCTGAAACATGTTACGTCCAAAAATCTGGATATTAAAATGCGTGGTAGGGATGAAGAAAAAATGTGAAGTTTAATCGAAATAGGTCGACAAAACATCTTACTTAGATGCTATATGGCTGGGTTATCCTCCATCACGTGAACTTCATGCTAGCCGTCTATGAAAAAAAGAAAAAATTGACACAATAAGAACGCAATCGCACGAAGTAATAAAAACAAATTTCTTTCACATAGCCACTATGACATATCGTTTAAATATATAATATAAAAAATTTGCGTCGGCCGGGAATCGAACCCGGATCAACTGCTTGGAAGGCAACTATGCTGACCATTACACCACCGACGCACGTGCGAGATACAATGAAAATTGCAAACATTATCAACAAAATATTATAATCTGTGATTACTCCTTATAATTGGGCCATGACACATGCCAATTTATTACAAAACGTATTTTACTTTATTATCACGACACATATGAGGTCAATGACGTCATCGGAAGAAGACGGGTTCAAACGCTATTTTATGTGAAAACGCGACAAAGTAAGAACACTAGACACCACAATAGCGGTTGGCAAAAGTTCACATGACAGTAAATAGCGGGCTAATTAAAGTTGCACCGCCACTAGAGTCATCTTAACCCGCGGCCGCCGTACCTGCCGGCTCCGCATAGGCAGACAATGACAACGGCGGAGGGCCACAGTCTGCTGACGCAGTGGCAGTTGCGGAGTTTTATTTTATTTATCTTCTATGCCAGGTTTGATAGCCCAACACTATCGCGTCGTAATGTACTCGAGCGCTGTCGAGAGTCGACCCACTTCGAACATTTGGACAACCATAGATTTCATCCGCGGCAGGCGGCAGCTAGACCCCAACGTAATTTCCATATTCAACCCGTTATTTCAAGGTTTTCCAGATGTTTCAGTAAAAATAAAAACGCCGTAGACTGTGGGTGCAGCATCTCGAGTGCGCGCCGTAATCAGAGCTAATAGAAGCGCGTGTTCTTTGATCTGCAGCTCAAAGGGAAGGGCCCAACTCGAGACGAGCGCGACACACCGGTTAACTCTACAATTGATTCTGGATTCGGACTTTTACCACTGCACCGCTGCCACTTTCTGATTAGTATCGGATTCTTACTATAATTGTTTAGCGTTATTAATATTTAAAGGCATTGGGTTTTGTCTAATTGAATAGTCAAAAGATTTCGCGATCTCGAAATCCAACCTCTAGATCGGCCGGCGCCGTAATCGATTCTTTTGTCCGATAACAATCAGATTCGGCTGTCCCTCAACCGGGCTCTCATATTCAACGGTTAGCGTTAGTTGGAATCGCATCTGATTTCACTTTATTGTCATTCTAATCATTGTACTTATTTTAACCGACGACGTCTAAAAAATATTGTAATAAACGAGTGCGACGTATGTATCGGCGAGCACCGTCATCGGCGTATGTCTGTTTTAGCGATAGCAAGAAGTCCTACAGGTTGGCACAGGGCACGTATTCTATAAAACGATTCGATTATTAGAGCAAACAGGGAATCAATCAGTGTCACCGGGCGATAGAGCGCGTGTTTGCCCGCGATAATCCCCGACTCGCCACTCAATACCCGGATTATTTCCTCTATCGATAGGACGCTCGCTGTTTACTTACACGTGTTACGATAACGGACGGTCATTATCTTATACAAATTCCGCTCAAATCGACTTCCTTCGATAGCACTGCGACCGCTCAAATTTCATTTATTTACCCGGAGGCCTGAGAATAAAGACGAGTTTATTTTTTACTTATCGTGTAGCGCTATGTTTGTTTCAATTTTCCAAACATGTTTAAATTGAGTTAACAGGGTGTTAAAAAAGGAAAGTTTACTTGGGCTGTGTCGTATTTTTAGGAAATTGAATGAAATATCGAATATGATGATGAGGTGAGCTAACTCTATTGCTAACGAACACAACGGTACAATTTAACTATTGAGCCCGACTCAGGCGTAAAAAATCACGGCCCAAATGGGGTTCGGGGAACGTTGCTCAATAATATGTTATAACTATAGAATACTAACTTTCTGTATGAAAATAAAACACTGCAACAGTTTAAAATTATTTTTAACTTCGGTCTGACGGGTGCTTTGGAGCAGCCGTGATCACGGGAAGACTTTAGAATTCATACTTATTTTTTTCTGTAATCGTCATTTTCCACTCAGCCTACGCGAGGGCGCCACATCCCACCATTCCCACAAGCGACGTTGTTTTGTTGTTTGCAAGAAATATTGTTAAATCGATACAACTCTAACAAGTAATCGGTAACGATGCCTTTCAAAAGATAGAGATATACCTTCTGTCGGGAATACTTTACTTTGTTAGGTCATTGAAACGGGAGTTTTATTTATATACATCTTTATTGGTTTCTTGAAGCTTTGAAAAAAGATTTTTCGTTTTATTGAGAAAATGTTCACCTGAGAACTGTTTTATCGTTCGGATTGGTCGCAGCGAGATATTATATGTCTAGTCTAAAGCATTCCTCCATAACTCATAAGTGGTATATCCATCCCAAATTTGAAACTAATTTCATAATTTGAACTTAGGTTAAAACAAATTGACTTCATCCTTATAAAGTCAACATAGAAAAAAGGACGCATGTAACAACACAATGCACTTGCACTTTGTTCGGTAGTTCTAAAGGAGGTGAGTTCGAAGTAAATATCTTTTCTTATAGGTTTGCGATAAAAAAAAATGAATATGATATTATATGATATTAAAAAAATTGTATTTTATGTAGAGGCCAATGAGACAATTATGGAATGTTTAAGCCCAGGCCACAACGGAGTGTTCATTTCTCTTCATTACTTGTTTGGATTAACATCGCAAGAAAATGGGCAGGATACTTCCCGAACCTTGAAGCATAAATAGTCAAGAGGACGCCATCAGCGCGTCATCGCCGCGGCCCGCGCCCCACGAATACACTGAGAGAATTATTGACGACTCCGGCCCGAATGAAACTAACGTATGGTGACGTACACGAAAAGCAGAACGCCGTCTATAACTATCAACACGGCCTGCTCGCCGTACATACAACTGAACAAACAAACGTACTTAAATTATGATTGCCTCGCCATAACGGATAGGCCGCCGGCACACTACGATCTATTTCACGTTTAATCGTGACATTAAGGTGTGTTGAAATGTAATAACGACGAAAGCGACCCCGTCGCCGTCAGATCAGTCGCGATCGGAGCGATTCGCATAAACGTGCAAACGCATACCGAGAAATACATTTCCAACAAAACGTTACTGGCAACCGCAATACGAGGCTCGCGTGCGCGAAGCCTTACTTTGCGATGATTACCAGTGCAGCTCATCGAGAGGCGGCGTATCGACCATTAATCTGATATTAGCCAATTCGAAACTGTTTTAACGGCTTTGAGCCACTTCCATCGAGAAATATTACCTCTATTTTGTTTAGATCACCACTTTACAGTACTATGATAAAATTAATTAACTGCCATATCGGCTATCGTATTATATGCCGAATGGACGACGAACCCCAAATGAACTCGGGGACGGGAATGAAGGCGACGCGCCGTCACAATTCCGGTCAGAGCCTCCGCCGGCCTCGCCTAATGCCTGCACACGATGACGGCCTGCAATTTCCGAACTGCCACTCCGCACTTCCTGAGACCACGCCAGATTCGACATTCGAAATTATCTCGCATCCTCCTTCTAACTTGCGCGAGCTATTATACTCCTTATATGTAACGGGAATGAGACTAGTTTCCAACGATTCCCTGCACGCCGTTCATTAATTTGCATAGTTCTATTTAATAATATTCCGTGTTGATTTAAAAAACAATGATATGAGATGATAATGATAGAGATTAGTTCTGTTTATCATGATGGGTTTGATATATATAAATTAAGTCTTAATGGTTATAATATAAAATTGTGTATAGACTTACGAGTAAGTTAATGTGACTGTAATTAATAATGATAGCAAACTTTAACTAACAATAATCGACGGGTGACGGATTTGATTCCCACCGAGTTCGAGTTAGGATCAGCCTAATGGAGTCTTTCGTCTGGAAATCGTCGTATCGAAAATTCCGTCCGGGTCACGAACCACAGTCCACAGATGAATTTAATCGCGTCTCGGATTCGGTCTGTCGATACCCTAATATCCAAAACCTGAACTCATCTTCCATCAGGTGAACCCCACTTTTGTCTATCATAAAAAAATATCGATAAGTAAGATAGAAGGTCTAGAGGCCGCAATAGTCAGAACCGCAGAATAAAATAAAACTTATAGTACATTTTAAATTAAGCAATACTATAAAAATATGAGCCCTTATTTAGAAACGATACGTAGGTAAAATGTCTTAAAAATATATAAAACGCCTAATTTAATGTTACGGGAAGAAAAAAAATTCACGCCCCCGGGTGGGCTCGAACCACCAACCTTTCGGTTAACAGCCGAACGCGCTAGCCAATTGCGCCACGGAGGCAAGTGACAAAATGAGCCAAAATACTCAACGTATCATAGTTTGCCATTAGAGCAGGACGAGAACATCATTCGATTTCTCATTTCACATAAACCTGTTCCGAGCTTTTATGAACTGGCTAGAAGCCTTAAACGGGGCAAAAAACACAGGTATTGTGTAGTTTAGAAATCTCAAGAATCGGTCTGAAGTTAGACAGAATCGTTTGTTACTTCGCGTACCTGAGTTATGCGATTGAGGTTATGTTGACAAATTAGTTTATACTAAGGGAAGGCTAAATTGCGTCTAAATATGAATTTTCGGAAATGACTACAGTGCAGTGAAAGAATTAACATAATGTTAAGTGATGATAAAGAGTACTAACCGGTCTCAGGATTTGTTCGCTTTTGTTTTGACTCGCAAATACAAAGTTTGAAGTGACGTAACGACGATTTGTACCATTTAAAATGGCAAATAGAGTGACCGGATCGTGTTGTACATCATCTGTGGAACGGGCTGGCCTCCCTGGCCTATTGAGAGACTTACAGAGGCTCTCCGAAGACCAAGACTCCGCTGATCTCGTATTTATATTAGGACCTTCGGAAGAAAAAGTGTTCGCGCACAAAATTATTCTCATAGCAAGGTAAAAAACAAATAAAAAGGATTCCCGTACCGGGAATCGAACCCGAGCCTCCTGGGTGAAAGCCAGGTATCCTAGCCACTAGACCATACGGGATATGATAGACTAATTGAATTACATTATTATGTTAAAATTTTAATGCTAAATCAAAACATTCGATGAAAGTATATTATAGAACGGATTAGCATAGGTTTGTTCTCTTTAAAATTGCAATTGGACATATTAACCAATGCAAAACATTTCTACGCATAAAGGAACAATGGATTGCCTTAGCCGGGCGGGTCTACGGAACAATTTTTTCGGTATAAAATGTTATAAAGGTCTCACAGAACTGAGAAACTACTCATCCTACTATTTTTATCAATACTAAACGGCTTCGAAATAGATGTCAATTTGCAAATTGCCCGCCCCCGCCTTATTGACGTCGGCGTTGTGCTTTGAAATGCAAATGAATCGAGTCTGTCGTCAAAACTTATAATTTGCCTAATGAAGCGAACCTCAACTTTGCTAATTATGTAAGAGGTACGTTTATTAATTATGTATTCATCGTTCTATTAATTATACGACGCTTTGTTTCGCGAAAGAACTTGCAAGCTAAGTACCCTTCACGACTAGTAACGACATCTACTCTTCATGGTAATGACTACCTTTTCAACTTGCCGCTAGAGGTCACTTTTTTGACATGATATTAACGAATCCGAAAAAGAACTACATATCTATTAATTCAGTAGGAGAATTCAAATTTTGCGTAGACTACACCGTATTAGCATCGTTCTTATCACATTATGTTTATGAAATTATTAAGAAGCAAAAAAGTCTTTATAACATTATGTTTTGAATGAGAAAAATTTGTTTAAAATGTATTCGGAACGAAAGGAGGGCGGAATATGTATCAGAAAGAACGTTCGCATTCAATTTGCATGAGAATAGGCCAGTAACATATTGTGGCGCTTGAGGAACTGCCCAAACTTTGATAACTTATGCAAAAACTTAGTCTTCCCCAACTTTGTAAGGATATTGAGTCCAACAAATACTATTAAAAGAGACGGCTGATGTGCTCAACGTGGCTATATTTTCTTATTTATGACTATACTTTCACGCTTTTATCAGTCATTGCTATACAAATTGCTGGAAAAACTTAAGAAAACTTATGGGGGCAGAGAGATAAAACTTAGTAATAGATTATTCACCTAAATCTTGTGTGATATCTCGAGATTTTGTCTTGCCGAAACCGTGCTTTTTACATTTTACACCTATAATCACATAAACCAAGGTTACAAGTAAAAATACACGAACCAACGTGTATAACCTAGCTCAGATATGCAACTTGATTTAGGGCCTAGAGCAATCTGGAAGAAATATTAAATTATAAAAACATTCGGTTAACTCCGTGAAGGAATACGTATGAGTTAGCAGTGTTAGGCAATGCCAACCGATACTAGCCTTTAGGCTAAGACACCATTGACAAACAGTTTCCTCGGGTGAATAGCTTTTCATTAACAAGCTCGAATGAACGAGTACAAACGCTTTATTAGAAGAAAATGCTCAAAACCGCGTTGTAAATCTACTCAGCGTGTTACGTGACGTCATCAATCATTTCTCCCTGTTGCGCCCCCATCCCCCCGCAACAAAATAATTAAGGTTCAATGACGAAGTACTACCTGAGAGCTTTCAATTTTGTATCACTTAGGAAACGCGTAGAATATCGCATGAATACAAGGTACTGACCTGACTTCCGATTGTGAGTTCCTTCGTTCAAACCGACGGTGGACGAAACCGGCTCCTCCTAGAAACAAGAATTCAAATTATGTATACGTAAATAGATCTCTATCTACCAACTGTTGTAAACCTTTAGGGCGGTATAGAATACGGAACAAAAAATGTGTTTTTTGTTCCGTATTCTAATTTCTCTGGTCGAAACTAATTTTAAAAAGACAATTACATAAAGCTATTTACTCGATCAGCCGTACGAACATTTTGCGTGAATTCGTAATTGCTTTAGCCCACTGTCCATTATACGATTTTGGGGTTCCTTACGCACGCAGAGTGCTACACAGTGTGAGTGAGTACAAATGCTTGAGTGTGTACCTAGTAAAATTTATTGAAATACAATATTTTTATCCGAAACTGAAAGAGGCCTAGATATGTGACCGGCAATGCGTATTCCTATTGGCTACGCTATTTTAAAGATCACTGGGACGGGTGAAAAGATCTTTGTATATAAGTACATATTTAATTTAATGCCACTTTTTCCATGTATATACTCGTGCAGTTTCGTCGACAAAAAAATGTGTTCCTTTAAAGTCACAGTTATGAATAGGTACAATTTAAATTGACGACATTGTTCGAGACGCGAAATGCTGGAAGTTCTACGCGAAGTTTCGTTAAATCTCGATAATAGCAAAGTTAGTGAGAAACAATCGCGGCCAGAGCGAAACACATCATGCGAAACGCGAAAGCAATTACCGAAGCACACGAAACTTGACAAAAAGCCGCCAACTTTCGTATTTGCATAAATATTCCTTCGTAACCGGCGACTGCTGGCTGCGTACGATTTACATAGATTTTTCGCTATTTACTCGTGCAAAGAAACTCTTTTACTTTGATTATATAGTGTCGTACAAGTATTTATTAAAGTTTTGCATTGCGTAATAACTTGATTATATGTGGGGTCGTCTTTGTAATAGTCGTAGGAGCCTTTAGCGCGAACGCCATAATATGTCCACGTCTTAAAAGTGGGTCTGAAAAAAACAGAAAGCTACTAAAATGTCGATACCTATTTTCAATAAGCTTACGGCTAACAAGGACTAAGGCGGACTCTAGACTCATTTACATTATAATTATTTTGTCGTGTCAGTCTGTATCGTAATTAAATAAATTTTAATACAAAAAAAGCATATATTACTTAATAATTTTAAAAATATTAATTACTTTTAAAATCGCACTGGCCTCGCAGAGTCTTTTATAACAAAGACAGTAGTTTCCTTAACACGCGGGCGTTGAAACTTTTATTCTTAATTGACAGACAAATAAACATATAATTAAAACACTGTGCAAAAACAGCTCGCCCGAGCGGCACGCAAAAGCTTCACGCGTGCTCTGGCTTCCTTCGGCCATCGACTAGAAAAAAACTAATCTACCCCCCAATTTTATTTGTTTTATTCCAAGCAGGACTAATATTTTTATCACGCGTCACTCCTGACTTAGACGGATCAAAAGCTGTCAAATAGAACGAGACTGAGCAAATATAACTGAAAGTCACAAACGCGAATCTTTTCGACATATTGTATAAAAATCTCAATACGGAAATCATTTGAAATATATTTCAAACGGCGAATCGCAACGAGTCGTTTGAAAGTAAACGAGCGCAATATAAGGTTTACAGAAGAAACGTTCTAAATAATTGAAGTCTACATATTTGGCATACTGAAGCTAATAATCGAAGTCTATATAATAAAACAGCAGACACGACGTAGAAAAGGATAACGGCGAGCCTCGGTTGGCTCGACTTTAGCATCGTATAATTAGGAGATGAGATAACATCAATCATCACTTCTCTTCAACATCGTTGGATTGAAAGCTGAAGGAAAACTGAACGTTCATTACAGCGCGGGCTGTAATCTGTACCGCAACTTGAATGGAGCGAAATTAGAATGTTGCACTCGGCGCTGGGATCATAGAAGACCGACGTACTGAGTTCGCTGCGTATTAGTGATATGATTATAATCATACAATCAGAATAGGGACAAATAACTTACTATGAGTGGCAAAGGCTTGTTAGTTCCTCTCGCATTTTACACATTCTTGGCCAATATAAGGATGTTTTAAATAATCCTAACGAGAGCTAAGCGTGTGTCGCGTGATTAATGGCTGTTCGCCGACGTCAAGCTGTACCGCAGGCTCTACCGAATCGTTTGTCTGCGGTGGCTGGCGCGTCAGTTCCGAACGCGGATGCTGCATCATCAATCACGGCACAACAAATTGCGTTTGAGCATCCTTGACTTATTATATTTGAGGGAACACATAAGCGAAATATTGAATTTTTAAATAGCCTTTGGCCTATCCACTAATTTTAAAGTAAAAATATAAGATAGCAAGTTATCCTACTCGTATGGAACGCCATTACAAAAAGATAAAGGTCTAAGTAAAACAAATGAATCGCAATGACAGAATATGTTCTACATTCTAGACACTTACATTTCCCCGGCCCAGTGTATACTGTATATATCCGAATCCTCTTAAAGGCACTTAACTCACGGGAACTAATAAAATATACAAAATGCATTGATTTACTTTCACTCTATAGGCGAGCATTAAAACGCATGGTTTGTTAACAGAGTTTGTCACTTTGACGTTTTCTTATTAAAACTTTACCGCGCTTTATTGAATGCATTACTTACTATTGACACAGGCTATCACATACATTTTGTAAATTTAGTATATTATAGTGACTATAGTCATTTTAAAACTAATGTCATACAGATAAAATATTTGTCATATAATTACACAAACGTTGGTAACGTTAAAAATAAATATAACTTAAGATTTTATTTTTACAATTATTTTTAAATAACAAATTTGTCTGGGTATCTAAACAATAAAACACATTGGCCACAAAATATTATTTAAAAAAAACAGTACCACTGATAAATGCCACAGACAATAAATACTAAAGTTACGATATTTTGTCGCGCTTACTGTTATTCTGAATCTAATTAAACAGATGTCTCAACCAAAATCGATACTCGAGAAAAGTGAGTAAGATTAATGGATACTATCGGATATTTGGTCGGATTGGCGACGACGCGCGGCAAATTAATTACACGAGATCTGATTCATGGTTACGATCTATCGACACCATTTCAACACCACTAATCTTTGATGACACTCTACATTATGCTTTCTTCATAGAATATTGGGAGACAACAGCTTCAACGGTTCTCTCACATTTGCATTTTGGAATATCGGTTTTTAGAGAAAGTTCGTGTAATTGCAAATGGTAGATATATGTTTTTACTTAGTTTGGAAATTCGTTAGTGCACCGAATGTTGATAATTATTTTGCAACTAGAGGAGCAAATAAAGCTGCTTACACGTATTACTGAATTTATAGTTATGTCCGTGAAACTGATAAAATAATTTCTATATTTTGTAATGACCTTCGGATTTTGAGTTTAGGTTCAACGTTAAAAAGTCGTCTGTAAAATTATGCAAATAAAAGAATCATCTGACAGCAGAGCAAAACTTCCATAGCATAAAACTCAACAAGCGCTACGATATTTTCTACTTTCAGAATTTCTAGTTCTATAACATAATGCTGAAACGATAACAATGGCTTAGTCCTGCCACGTTCGCAACTTCTATTAAAGTAAAGCAATAATTAAAAGTACTCAACTCTGTTTTCATTAACTTTTGTTTTGTGCAGATGCAAAAGTTTCCAGAACACAAAGCGAGGCGAGGTATGTCGCATTCCTGGTTGTACGGTGACGCCATCTGTTGGCGTACATCCGACGCCTGTGCGCATGCCGCATGTTCAGCCGGAATCTTTTCGGTTTTTCATTCAGTATGTCTACACAGGAAAGGTGATTGAAAATATATTTTTTATTAACATACAAGCTAGATTATGAATTACAAGCTATCACTTATCGACATTGCAGTAAATTCACCCATTAGAGATAATTTTGTTTTAACTCCCTCTAGCGGCGAGTAGAAGAACATATTCGTTGACATTAATTTTAAACAGTATTTTTCTGCAGAAAATATGATTTTAGTAATTTGTTGATTTGTAACGCTTAATTTTCTAAAATCACCTTATTTTAGCTTCTTTTGCAAGACTCAGGGGTGTTTGAAATGATGACACTCGCAGCAGATCTAGGCGTAGAAGACTTAAGAGCCGCTTGCGAGGACCACGTTACTTCGACTTTAAGTGTTGAAAGTGCATGCACTCTGCTGGCCGCAGCTATGGAAATTCAAGATCGTCCAGGTAAGTCTTTTGTTACACAAATTCACACAGTTTTATATCGGCGATGGTGGTGTAATGGTCAGCATAGTTGCCTTCCAAGCAGTTGATCCGGGTTCGATTCCCGGCCATCGCACACTTTTTGGTATTTTGTACTAAAAAAATTAACGAATAATTCATTTTACTAAGACATACGGAACTTTTTTACTAAAATCAAATTTTACACGGAAAATATAATCACGTTTGAATAGGTTTATGCATTAAATATGGCAATGAACGAATTTATAAAATTTTGGCGTCAATGCGGCATCCATTAAGTTTTAAGAAGAAGATTTTATAGTGATAAGTACATTACAAAATAACCAAAATGATTGTATCAAAAACCTATTAATTACTATGTAGTGTATACAGTGACATCTATATGTTATACATACCATAGTTTTATAACAGTACGGTATGTGTGGGTGACAGTTAGCCATATAACATTGACATCTGTCACTACCACTGTATGACTAGGGTCGGAATTTTGTAATGAGTTAATAAGTAAATAAAATATTATTTAATATTTAGTTTACTTGGCATTTATAGATACTCCACATCCGCCATGGATATACCCAGTTTATAGGGATGTCACCTTTACCGACTATGATTATTGTGTAATGTTAAATCCCGTTGGGGTGCCCGTGCCCATGCCCGTTAGGGTCATGGGCATAAATTACATATGTATTAAGAAATAATATGTTTTATTATTGTGATAAACCTACAAATAAACATCGACGATCAATTGTAGCAATACATCCCTAAAGACATCTGTCAGACTAAACTGTCACCAGCACCGTGCTACAGCGCGCATCCTAACAGCGTTTATCGTTTATGGATTCTGGTTATACTCCATGTTGCTTAATTTGTGTTTCTTAATTTTGGCACCTATCAATAGACAATAGAATAAAGACGCAGCGCGCCGGTATACTTATTTTGTTGTTATTTTTGTGAAAAACATAAAATAAACTTAAAATGGCATATAAAGGCCCCCCGAAAGTGCAAAAGGTTATGGTGCAGCCCATCAATCTTATCTTCAGATATCTACAAAATAGAAGTCGCGTACAAATATGGTTGTATGAAAACGTAAACCTCCGGATCGAAGGCCACATTGTGGGTTTTGACGAATACATGAACATTGTTTTGGACGAGGCCGAAGAAGTTCACATGAAGACAAAAAATCGTAAACAGATCGGTCGCATTATGATGAAAGGGGATAACATAACCTTAATACAAAACGTAAATCCAACAGCGTCAGGGTAAAATTAGGTTAAACTTAATAGACAACTGTTTAAGTGATGTTAAATGTGATTTTCTCGATATCCTTCACTGATAATGTAATTAAATTTAAGCATAAAACCACATTGTCTTTTATTTGTTAATTAGTTCGCTAATTAGAAATACTGGCCGAATTTGTTCTTTGCCCATACGTATGAAATGTTCAAAAATATAAGTTTCAATGTTATTATTAAATAGAGCATATGAAAAGAGGTATGTATTTTAAGAGTTGTGAGTTAGTCTTCCTTATTTTAACAGTTGCCTAAGTAATGATTTAGATATTACTGCCCTTTAGGTGGGAAAAGTGCATCATCATTTTTGGAGAGATGTATTGCATTTATTGGTAACAATGCCGCTGAGTGTGTGAAGACAAACTCTTTTCTCAATTTGCCAAAAGAAGCACTTATCAAGCTCATTTCATCTGACTTTGTAAGTATGCAAATATATATATATGTATTACCTGCATAATGGTATGGTTTTATTGTAACTGTATGTGTGTTTCTAAATAAATACTTTTTCATTAGCCTGCTGCTGTCTGAGATGTATCAAATGAAATGTTTATTGTTTGTATACTTGAAATTTATTGATGAAATCCCGACCAGCCATATTATCTGAGTATTCTTCTCATAACTTGTTAGAGTTAAAAAAAAAACTTCAATAAAAATTTCCACCATTTAGTGCTAGAAAGCCAAAATCGAACCACATATTTTAATATACCTACTTATGATCATGCATCAAAGTGAAATACACAAGAAATAATAGAAAGTTTCTGAATATAGTTATGCTTAGAAGAAGAAGAAGTATGGAGATGTGTACTCGCATGGGCTAAACAGCGTGCAGGGGTTACACAGCCAACTGCACATTGGACTGAGGAAGAACGGGCTAGGGTCTGCCACCACCTAGCACCATTAATGCACCACATTCGACTCCTGTTGATCGGTGAGTGATTCTCTACTAAACTATTGCAAAATCAATGTGGTAAATAATTAATAACCTAAGTAGAGAAAACTGGGTTATGACAGGTAATGCTTTTTCTAACATGTTATGTTTTATTCCTAGATTTTCCAGTTAAACAGGGATGAGGGAACCATTTCCAAATAATGATAGTTATTTGGAAATGGTTCCCTCATTGCACTGTGTAAAAACAATCAATATCTCTTTATAATAATGATAAATTTATGAAGCCATCTTGAGAGCAAAATGTTGAGAGCCATGCATATAATATTATGTCCTATTACTGAAACGAAATCTGATAAATTGTAGTTGTATCTAAAATCTAGTTTAATTGATCCTTTTTTATTTAATATAAACCTATTAACACTCATATCTCGATTATGTTCATACAATGGACAAACTGGCCACTAAAGTCATATACTAGTATTTGTTCCCACCCTCACTTTTTTATTTGTGTGTACATACATATGACAAAGTAATCATACATTTTAATGGTTTATATGTTCATTATACCTAATTTTAAAAAGGATAACTGTAACTACAGATAGTGCAGTATTCGCAGAAGAAGTAGAGCCCACAGGTGCAGTGCCGATGGAGTTGTCTCTGGAGAGATACCGCCGTGCTGCATTGCATGCCGCTCGTCCTGGCCCAGACAAACCTACTCAGCCGAGGTCTAATAATCTAACTTATTTATATTTCAACTTTTAAGCGTTCTAAAATAATAAATTTTGTAAAGTTAAGTTAGTTTAAGAGTCCTAAAAAAACAAAATATATTTAAATCTGTAGCCAAATGGTTAGGCGCATTGCCTTAAGCGTGAGAGGTCCTGGGCTCGAATCCCAGGGAAACAAAAAAATTGTTTCGATCAGGCAGGGCACAGAAGTCTGATCAACTACTTGCCTGTTAAAGAACAGATCAGTGAAACAAACACTAGATTGTGTTTGCCCCATGCCCCACGAGGGAGTGACTATTTGCTGTGGCAGTTTTGTTGCTTTCAAATGCAGTCAAATAAAACGTACTTAAATCATATTGACATGATGATTACTTCTACAGATTAGCAGTAAATTTGTTTGGCAATTCGGTCATTCTGCAACAAGACAAAAGTGGTTTGCAATCACTTATTAACAGTTGGTAAGCTCAATCTTTTAGTTTCTATTTCTCCTTTTTAATAAAAGCTCAATATTATAAATAAAGACTCGCACCCTGTTCATTCTATGCTTTTGCTAGTGGTCTAAGTTTGACCATCTATCAAAAGTACACAGTATTGTATTATACTTGTGTATTTCAAACATGTATATATTTTTTGAAGTAGTAAGCATTTTCAATGCAGGTGCGGAACTCCCAAACAGAGCTGGCGATTGGTGTTTAGAGCTTCAACCCATGGCTTTTCAGCACAAGCTTTTCACTCTCATTGTGATGGCATTGCACCGGTCTTGTTGCTTGTTCAGGTATAGATGTATCTTCTGTACCTTTACAAATTATAAAAATGTTGCACATGAATGCTATATATGAAAGCTGCTGAAAATTGCTTAAACTTATGCCTTATTTTCTTGACTTGTTGTTTTCAGCTGTCTCGTGGTCCAGTTATAGGTGGCTGGTGCGAAGCAGGCTGGTCGGGAGGTGCCGGCGGCGCTGGAGGCTACATCCCCTCTGAGAGGGGTCTACTATTCGCGCTCACAGACCCCCCTGCCATTTACACGCTCACTAAAAAGGCATTCGCATTGTGTTACCATCCCGAGTAATATATTTCATTTATTCAACTTTTTCTGTTTATATGGAACATGTATAACTAAAATAGGTCAATTAAACTACTTCAAAAGTCATATAAGGACAATAGTTTTTTTTTAAACATTTTAGAAACTTAAGTACCGTGTTAAAATGTAGGTACATTATGGACGGTAAAATACAACTTCTAACAGTCACTTACCATTACAGTTGTGGTCCAATATTCGGGGCGGGCGCAGATCTGCTCATCTCGAACAATTGCAACACCAACTCTGAGAGCTACAGCAACCTTCACTCTTACGGCGACTCGCTGTCCCCCGCTTCACTGGCAGCAGATTACAGCTTTACTGTTCGAGACTATGAAATATTTACTGTTAAGCTTAATTAATTTTTATTAATAAATTTTTCAATATAATCGAAATTACCAATTTATTTCCCTTCATGAAATGTGATACGTTTTTTGTTGGACTTTCACATTGGTCAATCGAGTTTTTAAATAAATGTATTTTTTTGTGACTAATAAATCTGATGTTAGTGATAGAAGTGTCTTTAACAATAAAATAAAATGTGAATTTTTCTACATAATATGTTTATAATACCCAAAATAATAAAAAAAAATAAAACTTAGTGCAAACTGCACAGAAAACTAAATTATTTAATCTGTGAAGTAGCTGTCACTGTCGATGTGTCAACTGGCAGTTTCGCGGCAGTTATGTGATAAGAAAGATGGCGTGCCGCGTGTATAAAGATTAAAGATTTAAAAGTGGGACAGAGTAATTTGTCGGGTTCACTCACGGGTTCCAAGTTAAATAGAAAATGCATCGACGTGGGGGTAAACGCATCCGCATGGATGACCCTCCACCAGAATATGTGAACCCTATGACTCCGGCGACGCCTATGACCGATTATGGCGGGCAATCCGTACACGAGCCCGATGTGTCTAACATGAATTATTCCGGTTTCCACGCTGGCGCACCGGTGAACTCTACGACGGTGGATCGCATGAGAGAAGAACCAGACGATCCTGAGGATGATACGCGATCGCCTTCACCGGCGCCGACGAAGCGTGTAACTCGGAGTAGGGGTCGCGGTGGCGATGGCGGGTATGTCGGTCGGTTAGCAGAGTCCCCGCCGCCACCGCCGCTTCGCCCGCGGCGAGGACGCGGTGGTCGTGGCAGAGGAAGAGGAAGAGGTGGAGCGCCTCCACCACCTGCATACTCACCCCCTCCTGTGCTTCTTCCCGGTGATGATGAAAACAGCTTGTACAATTTATTAAGGTTCAACAAGACTGCAATTAATGTAAGTTTCACTTAGATAATGCAAGATATTATGCTGGTGGCTTTGTATCACAATTTGTAAACTGTAAGATACCAATACAGACTACATAGTTGAACAAATCTATGAATCTCTAAATTGATAATTGAGTGGCTTAGCAAATGATTATAATAAATTATTCTGTAAAGGCCATTATCATTTATTTAAATTCTTAATTGTGGATGTTATGCAATTTATTAGATTTAGACTTTGTTAATGACTTTCTAAATTTGTTTAACTAGCAAGTGGTAGACATGTGGATAGAAGAGTATAAAAGTATCAAGGAGAGCGCTCTGGTACAACTGATGCAGTTCTTCATCAACTCATCAGGTTGTAGGGGCAAAGTCACTCTGGATATGGCACAAATGGACCATACCCTTATTATTAAGAAAATGACCCAAGAGTTTGATGAGGTAGTATAAATATTTCTTACATTGTTTGATATTAACCATTTTGCTAAATAAAAAACGTTAATGTAAACAATTGTTTTTAGGAAAGTGGAGAATACCCCTTAATAATGTCTGGTCAAACCTGGAAGAAATTTAGGGCAAATTTTTGTGAGTTCATACAGACATTGGTCAAAATGTGTCAATACAGTATCATCTACGACCAGTACTTAATGGACAACATCATTTCTCTTCTGACTGGTTTGTCTGATTCCCAAGTCAGAGCTTTCAGACACACTGCAACTTTAGCAGGTGATTGCTATAATTGATATAATACAATTCTGTAATAAATATGTTAAGTGGATGTGGCAATATGTTAAAACTAATGTAGACCAAGATGGAAGTCATACTCTGCAATTCCATAAACCATGCTTTGGTAGCTCGATTTTAGTTTTAGTACTTATATAAATATAAAATGATAGATTACAATTTACCCTTTCAGTGATGAAGTTGATGACGGCTTTAGTAGATGTAGCACTGCTCACTAGTGTAAATTGCGATAACTGTCTGCGGCAATATGAAGCTGAGAGATTGAAAGCCCGAGACAAGAGAGCTAGTGACAGACTTGAAGTACTCGTCGCAAAAAGACAGGAGCTTGAAGAAAATATGGAGGAAATAAAGAATATGCTGTCTTATATGTTCAAATCTGTGTTTGTACACAGATACAGGTCAGTAGTTACAGTTTGGTTATATATGTAAAGGTATAAACCAAGGGCAAAGGTAAATACGTAAAACATATTGATTTTTTAAAAGTATTATACTTTACATTGAAAATGTATTTGGACTGAAAACATTCGATGGCTCAAATTTGACTCGTAATTTGAGTCTTGAGATACAATGTTCACTTTATAGCTTAGCAAAACTTTTAAAGATTAAATTACTCACTTACCTTTAAGCATTTATTTTTTAAATATAAACATCTTTCTTTAATTCTATAATCTCATATTTATGGTGTATTTTTCTTGCTTAGCAAATGACCACAACAAATATGGCCCATCTCAAACTATAGAGAACTAGTGAAAACCTTTTATAGAGTGCAGTTTGTCCACTTTCATAGATTAATTTTTAAGATTTTCATAAACTTTTAAACGTGGCATGTAATCGTGGTTTTTACTAAGTGAGATTAAGGTACTTCATAAGTTGAATATATAAGCCAGTGTCCCAAAGTATTTTTAGTGTAAATCAAGGTAAACCTTGTGAGAAAATCACAATTTCAGGTAAATTGTGTTCTGTTTTTCCAAAATGCCAAGTTTGAAAAAATACACTATACATGGCTCTTCTCTAAATTTAAAATTGTTTCTTGATATTCAAAATACATATGTTTTAAAGTGAGTTATAGAATCTGTTATATTTGTAGAGATACACTGCCTGACATTAGAGCCATCACCATGTCTGAAATAGGCATATGGATGGAGAAGTTTCCGGCTCAATTTTTGGATGACCTCTACCTGAAGTACATAGGGTGGACTCTGCATGACAAAGTTTGTAACCATAAATTGTATTGGACCTATACTATTATTGCTTTACAATTTCTTAACTGTTCTTGTGCAAAAAGTATCAGCAGTAGTATCTTTCTGTTCTTCAATTTTACTAAAATAAAAATGCAATTTCTTTTTCCAGGTCGGTGAGGTACGTCTCCGATGCCTGCAAGCTCTTCACCCACTTTACGAGTGTGAGGAGCTAAAGAGTAAACTTGAGCTGTTCACTAGCAAATTCAAAGACAGAATCGTCTCAATGACGCTGGACAAAGAGACCGAGGTGGCGGTGCACGCAGTCAAGCTGGTCATAGCGATACTCAAGTGAGTTAAAGTCGTATTGAATATTTAAATGAGTCTCCTTCACATCTACATATGTTACAAGAGTTATTTTATCGCTACTCTTAATATCTGTATCAGGATGCACCCGGATGTATTGACTGACAAGGATTGCGAAAATGTATACGAGCTGGTGTACTCTTCGTGGCGGTCTGTCGCCGCGGCTGCGGGCGAATTCCTAAGATGGCGATTGTTCCGTAACGACTCCCCCCCTCCGCCCTCGCGATCTCGCCGGGGGAAGACGCGTCTTCCCAATACAAATTTGCTACGGGACCTCGTACAGTTCTTCATCGAATCTGAGGTAAGATAATCTCTTTTTTGGTCATCACTACTCTATAAGTGATATGTGCAACTAAATGATTCGACGATATAAATAGGAATCTATATGTAACGGTAGAAAACATACAAATCGTAAAGCATGTAAATAAATAAATCAACATCTAACTTTTATAAATACACAGTTACACGAGCACGGAGCTTACTTAGTAGACTCGCTGATCGAGTCGAACCCCATGATGAAGGACTGGGAGTGCATGACGGACCTGCTGCTAGAGGAGGCAGGGCCGGGGGAGGAGGCTCTCGACAACCGGCAGGAGTCCTCGCTCATCGAGTTGATGGTGTGCTGCGTGCGCCAGGCCAGCACCGGCGAGCCGCCCGTGGGCCGCGCCCCGGCGAGGAAGCACCACCACACACCGCCTAAGGACGCCAAGGTAGGCCCCGAACGTGCGACTTGATTATGAAATAGATTCTGCTCTCTGCTCTATTATTACAAAATAATATTTCATTTAAATTAGGTTAGGTTGTTCTCAAATCTGAAACCACAAAAAAAACATCAATAATATTAATGATGACATCATTGAACATAAAAGATAAGGCATATTATCTAAGAAGAACCCGTGTTTATTTGTTAATTACACGTTTATTTCAAATCACCGTTTCAACGACTACATCTCAACCTTTCCAACAGTTGGTCGCCGAAGATCGCGGCAAGATGACCGCCCACTTCATGGTGACTATTCCGGCGCTATTGGAGAAATTCAGCGCGGACCCCGAAAAGTTGACCAACCTCCTCTCCATCCCGCAATACTTCGACCTGGAATTGTACACCACGCAGCGCCAAGAGGGAAACCTCCTCCTGCTACTTAACAAGATCCGAGACATTGTGTCCATGCACACGGAGGCGGAAGTGATAGACACCTGCGGGAAAACCCTCGAAGTCCTGTGCAGCGAACAGTGCGCGGTATACTCCAGGTGCAACGTGTCCCGGGCGACGGTGACCGACATGTGTGTGAACCGGTACAAGGAGGCGATCGACGACTACCGTAGCCTCATCGAGGGGGGCGAAACCCCGGACGCCGACGAAATCTTCAACGTGATCAACTCCCTGCGCAAGGTGTCCATCATGTACATGTGCCACAACCTGAACGACACCAACATCTGGGACTCGCTGTTCGAGGATCTGCCCAAGTGCCTCAAGAGTAACGAGACGCAGATGCCCACGCAGGTACTCTTCGTCGCATATCGTCCTTGGCGCCGACGAGGCTATACATATATTTAGGACGCTCAGAACGATATACACGCTTTTATGTCGACTCAGGCGCTGGTGTTCGTGGTGCGCTCGTGCTTCTACTCGCTGCTGTGGTCGCTGCACGAGGCGGAGGAGAGGGGGGTGACGGGAGACGGCATCGCGGCCTTACGGGAGCGCCTGCTCGCCTACGTCGCCCACTGCAAGATGATCGTCGCCGACGGGGTCACGCTGGAGCTCAGGGAGGAGGTACCGATGTCGAAGAGCCGTTGCTCATTTTTATTCTATTCACGCGCGTTTTCGTCGTTGCATTCTAATATAGTGATTCCGACGACGTGTTCCAGGCGTACGTGAGCCTCTGCGATCTGTTGATCTTCTTCGCGGAGCACATGGCCAGCGGAGAGCCGACGCTCCGGCCTCTCGTGCTGAAAGCGGACCCTGAACTATGCGACCTGCTGAACGCCGCCGTCCAGGAGTTTGTCTTCTCGCACCAGAATTACGGTAACGCGAAACGTTCGTCGCATTTGCATCGAGATGAAGATGGATAAATTTTAGTATTCGGGAGCAAAACGGCTCCGAGGTCCAACGATCGTGCTATTTAAATAATACTGATAAATTATTCTTAATTTACATCTTTATCGCGTCGCATTCTTTGCTCGCGGCCTTCAGCACAAGATATAGACAAGATAGATAATTCTGCATTCCCGTGTTGTTTTGGTCAGTGAGAAAAAATATGCATTATTCGGTAAGGCCGAGCCCGCCTCGGGCCGCGCGTCCGCACGGGGCGAGGCGGGGCGCGGGGAGTGCGGGTCGAGGCGGGGCGTAACAGGCGGTGTGTTTTTTTGCATGTCCCGCGGGGTCGGCGCGTCGTGTCGCCTGCGCCGGTAAGCCACTCTCCGCTCGACGCTCGCGACCTATTTTGCCTTAGTAATGCGCGCCGCCGCCGCCCTCTTTCCGCCCTGGCTCCTCTCGTCACTAGCGAATGATGCATATTTTTCTCTCGGTCTCGTCGCGTCGATTTGTCCAACATTACTAAGGAAAAATTGTCGCCTACGCTTCGCCCGCGACGCGTTACCGGCTGCGATCCTGCCGGTCTGCCGCTTCCACCCAAACGCACGTTGACGTGCCGCGCTCGCTCGGTCGTCGCCGGTTCCGCCTCGCTCGTGAATAAATACTTGCGCATGTCTCCTGCGTTGCCCTTGCGTTTCATTTGCGACCCACCATTTCGCTTTCGCTAAGACGTCACGTGTGACTCGGCCCGAATGAGCGATAGTCGATCGGCAACTTTTAATTGAGCTCGATGTGTAGATGTAGTCGTGGAGTGGAGTGATGCATGAATCGTGCCACACTTGGAGCTTCTCTGAATCATCGCGATGCTTCGACGCCCTGAAAGGCTATTTGACAATATCGTATGCAAATAGTGCTACATATTGAGTGAAAAATAATAATTAAGGTTCGACCTGTTGCGAATGGTTCTGTCACGTAGCCTCATCGTTCGCTCTTTCGCTTATTATGTCTGACAATGCACTGATTATTCATTTCGTTCACTTCACTTCATACGAGGCGACCGCGGCGGCTCCTCACTAAATACGACACATAACTGAACCGTAATTTATTGAGAATCCGCTCGCTCACCGCACCCGCTTCGCTTGTGCCGAGGCCGCCGAGGCCCTTCCTCTGACCGACTCACTCGCTTTGCAGACGGTCAAGACGAGAGACGCATCGAGGAGCTGCACAAGCGGCGCAACTTCTTGGCCGGGTACTGCAAGCTCATCATATACAACGTGGCCCCCATTCGCCGAGCCGTCGACGTGTTCAAGCACTACATCAAGGTATTACTTCAAATGAGAATCAATATTAAGTGGTTTCGACGAAATAAGAACGACGAAATGACTTCGCTCTCCCCAGTGCTACAACGACTACGGCGACATAATAAAGGCGACGCTGAGCAAGGCGCGCGAGATTAACAAGCTGAACTGCGCGCTGTCGATGGAGCTGGCGATGCAGGCGCTGTTCACGGAGGTGCGGAACAAGCACGCGGATCCGGCGCGCAATCTGCCCGAGCTGCTCGAGCTGCGGGAGCTGGCCAAGCGTTTCGCCATGATGTTCGGGCTGGACGCGCTCAAAAACCGCGAGGCGCTAGTGGCGCTGCATCGCGCGGGCATCGCATTCGCGGCGCTCGAGGGCCCGGCGACTGTGCCCGCGCATCCCCCGCCCAACATCCTCTTCCTCGACGCGCTGGCCGAGTTCTGCGGCAAGCTGCTGCGCCTCGACAAGCGACAAGTGCTCAAGGTCAGTACTGCAAAGCTGCGATTCGCGCGCTGTCAGGTCGAAGAAGTTCACTTTCACTAAAGTGCTATTTCGTCGGACAGTTCTTGGACAGCCGCTTCCCGACGCAGTGGGTGGAGGAGTGGGCCCCGCTGCTCTCCTACCGCACGATGCTCCTGACCGACACGCCCGACGAGCGCCCGCCGCCCGCGAGGCGCCACTACGCCCGGAAGAACAGTACGTGCCAATCGAACGATGAGGCGCCCGCTCGTACCGCTTGCATTTCAAAGTATCTTAATTTTAATTGCAGAGGTTCACGCGGAGGAAGACGACGGTGAAGAGAATGCGGACTCGGACGCAGAGGGAGGATGAGACAGATCAGTAGACCGTTGCTACTTCATATTATGTACTCGTAAATCGGGACATTAGAAGTATGTAGTTGTAGGAAGTATATACTTAAGTAGATAAATAAAACAGATCTTTATATTTTTGAATAAAACATTTGTCGTACTGTGCGTGCCATTTTATTGACTTCCTGCCTATAAACAGAACCTTTGAGCCCGCGAGGTATTTATTACTTGGCTAACGGAATCCAACGTTTCCCGAAAGGAAAATGTCTCGCGCAACGGACGTAATCGCCCGCATTCCTCCCTAATGTCTAAAGGCCTAATGCGAATGACGAGGTGCAAGAGGAACCGATTGTTTACGATTTGCAGCGCGGAATGCTACAGCGTCACGAGCCGCGTTTTCCTGCCGATATCGGGCGCGCGAGGCGAGATTGTGCGCTCGCTAAAACCCACGCTGCGCTGTGACGCGCGAAAAGGCTGCACTTTCCGCCATCCTTCCCAAATCACAATTATTTACTTGTACTTACACCTACGTCTCGCATCTATTGTTATCAAAATAAAAAAGTTCTCGACTTGACCACTTTACTCTTTGAAAGTTCGACCGCTAGCAAAAATAATGTTTGCTCTGCTCTTTTCTACAGGAAACGAAAACACGACCTGTCGAAACCTGTTCGAAGCGAGTCCGGACTAATCTTGTCGCGTTTCAAATGTGAAACATCTGTTCTGATCTATAAACGCCTGATTAAAAGTTCACCGCTTCGAAATTTTTTATTCTGGTAAAACGAACGCGCAAACTATGTCAAGCTTAACATTTTATTTTATATTATACTGCCCTATGTAATGGAGGTTTGGGAATAGCCCTATTCCTTTGTAGTTCTAATAAATATGTTGTATATAAGCCATACGACACCAATAATTATTGAATTTGCTAGATATATTTAAAAATAAACCAGTTCACAGCGATGCCACAACATTGAAAAATATTAATTTCTAGGAGACGAAGTCGCGTCAGCCCCAAAAGTTCCAGTTTGAACGGCTGATCTGTTGTAGCGATTCTGGATACGACGATTAAATTATTCGCCTGTGTACGAATTATCACTTTGTATATACTTTATCGTCACTAGGTCGCACGTCGCCCGCGGCAAACGAAAGCTTCAAATGAGATTACCTCATCTCGGGTATGACAGAGCGAAATAGACATTTTAAAGAAGTACCGATATCGTTTTCCGCCTTATCACCGCTAGGAAGGAAAATGCTAACCGAAGATTATCCTCAACGTTTTATGAATGAAGTCTATGAATTGTCTCCGCGGAAACTATCACACGCAGGTGCGGACGACGTGCTCCCTTTTAGCTCGATTAAATGTGAAACGGATTAAGCCACGCGTTGCTCGTGTTCGGTTAGAGGTAAAGAACACGAGAAAAGTTGATTTCCGAATATGATGTAAATATTGTGAGCAACGCGGTGACGCAGGCGGATTCCTAGCAAATAACTTATAATCTGTGGTAGGCAGACGCTCGGTACACGTCACAAACGACACGTCGCCCATTACGTCCGACCATACCTACCTGTTTACAGATATTCCCAAGCTAAAATATGAAAAACAATTGTATTTTATAAAAAAAGAACAATGTGTGACTTCACTTCACTTTAAGGCAATGTTTTATAAGTATGTTTTTTATGCCATAGCTAGAACTAAAAACTATTTACACGCGTTGCTGTAACGCCTTACGCCACACGGGCCCTTGGATTCATAATTACAGGCAGACCATTGTCAGGTCTGAGAATAATTCGAAGTGATCCTTTTTCCTCCTCTTACCAAAACAGAGTTAATAATTGAAAAGGGAAGCTAAATGGGGTTTATTGTAGTTATTATTGCAGTAAGGGATAAATTGCGGTTAAACATATCGACACGCGCTATTATAGAAGTCCTTTATGGTTTCAAGATAAAGTTTTCCACTCGACAACAAAATTATACTATTCTCCGCGTAAAATCAGAGTGGACGAAATGTAAAAGTGGTTAGGAGAAATATTTCTCTAAAGTATTATCTTCCGTGGGCGGTAGGCGGGCGACGGTGGGCAGAGCGACACGACGCCCCGCCTCGTTGCGCGAGCGCACTCCATTTGTTTCGTTTTGTACTTGCACTTTCACACTAAAACCCCCAACGAAAGATAGGTGACACGATCAGTTGTAACAAAGAGGTCGAGTTCTCTATAACGCGCGCGGACCTTAGTCTATCTAGCCTAATTCAATGAACCTAATAGGTTTTCTACATTTGTTTAGGTGACTAGCTAGAATGTTTAATGTTTTGCTACAGCGTTCAGTAAGATAAAACAAAAGACGATTAGGGATTTCGTGAAAATGCGAGTTTTATTTTAGTGGCATAATTGAGTGGTTTTATTGAATGTCGTAAAGCTATTAAGATATTGCGAGAGTTGGGATTTTCAGAGGTCGCTATAAATAATGTTGTGACACATCTGCGTGTTTGGATAGGCCACGAAACTAATAAAGATTTGAGATAAAATCAAGACTACGTTATTCTTTCAGAAGACGATAAAGAAAAATCTTTTAACTCATTCGATACGCACGCGTTTGTCAATAATGAATTTAGATTATAATCGAGGTCGCCAGAGGACTGACTGCAATTTTTATGACTTGAGTTATAATTTTCAAATTTTAAATATTTTTTAAAATTTGAAATATTAACAAGTTTTTGTCACTGTACTCTGATGTACAGTGACAAAAACTTGTTAACATAATTAAGTCATTCTTACATAAATAGCAGTACAAATTCATTTTCGCCTTAGTTGTTGCGCATTTATTTTTCTATTATTGAGAATCAAGTTTTTTTGCTATTAGGACACTCTGCCTGTAGCGGCCTCAGTTATAGGATTGGCTATTACAGTACGAAGTCGATAAAGGCGGCCGAATCCCTTCGCCTCTCGGAAACGCGTCGTTTGGGAAAACGGAGCAGATTTTTGCGAGTAATGAGATGCGCTTATTGCGCAAACGAAGAATAACAGGTAATAAGATATTCGGCTTTAGCGCGTCATTTCTGACGTGACAGAACGACAAAGCCCACGTCACGTCACGTCAGTCTAATTGATAGATAATGAATTAACACACGACATTTCAGGATATGTGTCTATTTCATCGAAATAGGCAGGAACATAACTGCCGTAGTGAGGAGTACCTGCATGGTAACGAATGTAAACAAAAATATAACGTCATAGTATACACAAGTAAGTAATGTGTTCATGACAGCCGATTTCGCCTTCCGTCCAGACTCCAGAAATGCGCTTAAATTTATTTATTATTAAGTATGTCTTATCGAGACCACACGTACAATCTGTTTATTGGACTTCCAATTTGGACCGAACCGAAATCCAAGACGAACAATAAGGAAAACCAACTGTTTCCCCAATGTTATCGCGTAAGCGGCGGATTTCAGAAAAACTACAGATTGGAAGAAAATTTTGTCGCTTTAATTTTCAAGTACTAAACATATTATGACAACACATATGACAGGTTGTAAAAGTCGTCTTCTACCTTCTCTGGCATTAATTAAAGTGTAACTCGCTTATCGCTATAAAATATTACGATTAACGTGAATTAGCTAAAGCCACAGTTACATAAGTGAGACGCAAAAACCTCGAGACGATATCTGAGAGAGTCAGTTTGATTCACGTTCTCGAGCGATACCTCATTGCTCTCGTAGAGAAAATCTTGTCTACCACCGAATATATGAAAACAACGAAGAATGTAGAGCTAGGAACTCGATGCTCGAGATTCAAACCCGCGACCGTAGCGATCTTACCGCCGTGTGTCGTATGTGCTACGTCACGGGGAAAAGAATAATGTTTCAAGTGTATCGGTAAGTATCCACATTGAGCATAACATCATCTTAATCGCTTCTAAGAAAGTATTCTATTGAGACCCCTCGCCACTCGTTCGAGAAGGCACCAGAATATTGATAAATCAACGGGTCTTCTGGATATGAAATGAGTTTCATAGGAATATCAACAATCAGTACCAGTACACAGTAAAAAACGTGAAGTTTAGTCGCGTTTCGGTTTCAGTCTGTGGATTTACCAATATCCATAGCCGTAATAGGGCGATCACACATCTTGTTAGGATGTTATATGGCTCAGGTATTACACTTTCCATAAATGAACCCAATTATCAATTGCTCTGTCCTAAATTGAATAAACATGGAATCGGGCTATCATCGCGCCTAGGCAAGTCTTTAACGTTAGCCTTCTCATATTCCTATAAGAAATATTATGTGTACTTGTAAGCTTAAGTGTCTGTAGACCTGTTGGCTTTGTTAAAATCTATACTAATATATAAAGCTGAAGAGTTTGTTTGATCGCGCTTATCTCAGGAACTACTGATTCGAATTGAAAAATTGTTTTGAGTTGATTAAAGAATTTATCGAGGCCTTTTAGGCTACAAAGCATCACGCTGGACCCACCGGAGCGAAAAACAGATGGAAATGTTAAAAAAAAAAACAGGAAAAATATTCATCTTTGTGGATTGCCGATTGCTGCGAATACGCTTCGAGATACCCAAAAAATATGTATCAAAGAATGATTCCTCTTAAAACGACCTAAATACACCGTTCAATCCGATTCTAAGGAAACGTAAATTAACGATGATTAGAAACTTTAATATTTTTACATCTTATGCAAAGAAAACGTTGTGGATGCCGGTTAACGTCCTGCACGTGTCGTTTTCAAGCTAACGTTGATATTTAATTTGGAATAATGATTTGTTATATGAGCCATATAAACACAAGTATGGCGGGATTAAAGCCCAAAAGTATGTCCCCACCGAGCATAGATCAAATACACCAGGTTTCCTGAATCAAAATTGTTAAATGCGGTTCTGCAAGTCCCGCTTTTCATCGGCGTTTTTCATCGTTTATGAACATTACTACTAAGAGATCTAGTACCTCTTATCAGCACAAAATGCTTCTTTTTCTTTTAATATCAGAAGAGCATAATAGTGTTAGGTTGGTTAGTGAAAATATTATGAGGTGTCAGCGTATATAAAGTATTTTGCACCATTTTAATAGTTCTCCGAAAACATTTTTCACACCTATTGAGGTTTGATTTTTAGGTAGTATTAAATTCTGATAGCGAAATAATAATAAATCAATTGGAATGTAAGCTTTTTAATGAAATTTATAATATATTCCACTTAAGTTTAGTCCCTTTTCCATTTACACTGTACGTACACGCACATTGTGGACTATCAGTTAAATTAAACTACAACTAAATTGAGCTTTTCTCGCCGCTACTCCGATTCACAACGTTCCGCGAGGCGTAGAGAGGGAGTTTCGGCGCTCGCGCGGGCGGGCCGCGCCTCAGGCAGGGATGGCTCTTCGAACGGAGCCGCCGCTTCACGTCGGCGACTGCTCGACGGGCGGCGCCCTCGTGCTCTTCTCTACGATGCACGAGCAACCGACGGCCACGTCCAGCGTCACCATCTCGTTCTTCTTCTTGTCGAACACTAGAACCGTGTCGTGCAGCTCGACGCACTCCATGACGTGGCCGTGGCGGCTGTGCCGACAGCACTCGTGTTGCAGGTGCGGAGGTACCTCGGGCTGGCGACACCAATCGCGGGGTTCCTCCGCGCACTTCAGCATCTTGATCTTCCTCGGCACGCGGTGCGGGTTCTCGTCGATCTCGACCTTGATCGGACACACGGTTCGGTTGAAGACGTCGGCCAGGTCCACCGACCTCGCCTCCGCCGGCCTAGAGCCGACCAGCGTCAGGTGGATGACCGCCGCGAGGGCGACGAGCTCTGCGATATTTTTCAGCATGGCTTCGGGGCGCGTGCGTTCAAGTGAGGCTAAATTGCGAATATAGCAGGTACGGTTTTTGGTGTGCCTTTAAATACGGACGTGTGGCCGCGTGCTACGGTTCGGCGGGAGGCGGGCGGCCGCGGCGCGGGCCCGCGCCCGTCGCCGAGCCGCGCGCGCCGCAGTCCTCGCTCGGCTCGCGGACGCGTTTCACCTCTCGCGCGACGGACCCGCGTCTCGGAGGCTGCAGCCGTGTTTCGTGACCGTATGTGAAGTTCTGTGCCTGTGAGTTTTTGGGATTGCGATGTTTATCGACATGTATATGAGGCATTTAGTTTAGCAGTTGGAAGTGCGAAGCGTATGTGATATTTTGAATTAGTTCGGTAAATAGCCTGCTCATCGCCTCCCTAGAGATGATCCTAGGGGAGGCGATGAGCAGGCTGATAGGGGCGGTTCCATCGTCGTTCGCTGGGCGTGCTTTTTGCGGGTGAATTTGGCAACAGTCTATATTTAATTGTTTTTTTATTAACACTTTGAAAGCTGTTAAAATTAGTTATTAATTGGATGTTGGTCTTTTAAATTAAACATGTTAATCTTTCGGAGTGATATTCTGGCTGGCTTATGTCTTATTGTATAAATATATTTTGTTTATAATTTTAAGTTTCATTAATAATAAATTAATGTAGTGAATTTTATCTCATTTTGTACTTAACTCGAGGTGATCTTTGGCTTCAATATGAAGTATATATAAAAGTAAAGACCACAAAATACAAAATACTTAAAAATTAAATTCGCTGTTTAATCCGTCATCTCGTTAAAATCGTGAGCAATCAGAGTCGTACATTGTACGTGGTAATATTTGTTAGTGAACGTTTAAACTTAAAAGTGATAGCGAAAGGCGTCGCGAAAAGCGCGCGTAGGCCGAGCGTAGGCCCTCTACGAAGGGCGTAGCATATCCACGCTGCTTCGGCGCTCATTTGAATTTCCTTAACGTAATGACGAGTCTCTCGTTATCCTCGTCCGAGGTTATAGATCTGTGATTTTCGTCGACGCAATTAGGACGTAGCACGGTGTCACGTGACGTCACGTCGTCCTTCGAGATTCCCGTTATCGAAGCGCGACGGTGAGCGCCGACTCGCTCGCCTAACAGGTTCGCACAATTTTTCGTCGCGTTATCCTCTTACGTGGCCGACACGAAGAAACGAGTCTGGTTTGTTTCGTTCATATAGATATTAACATCGATAAATCTAAGAGAAGTAAATAGTACTCTCGGTTGAAAGACGATAATAGTGCACCCGTTGTGAACCGTCAATTATGATGCTTCGTAAGCTCGTTGTAATATCGTTTAGACTCAGTTAGCATAATATTTATTGCATATTGAGAGCTTCGAAAACTGTAATTGGTCGGGTGCTGTTTGTTTCAAGCTTCGCGAATAGAAGTAAAATACGAGTGTTATTGTAATGTCATACGTTGTTTCTGTTGTAAGCCTTAAGTTGCTGCCATATCTTTAATGTTTAATAATAAATAAGTTAATTTCAATATAGTTCATATTTTTTGTGATGACTGTGTGTGTTTTGTAGTTCACTAAATAAAATATAAAAGCCTTTATTCACAACCGCCTGTTGCATGTCGTTATTGTTGTTATGTTGTATCTGTTGCTCTCGCTGTTGTCGCTACGAGTGCACCTATCCAGTGAATGATGTAATAGTTATTATTCATACCTCTGTTGAACAAAAGTATTTGCTCGTTCTGTGGTTATGTTATTAGTGGTACTTGATTGCATATTTATTTGTGTATCAATAAACAATACTTTGAATAATGATGTAGTTTTATTTATCGAAGACCGCATTTACGTATGGGTGATTTATATGTTTCTGTGAACTTCTGCCTTCAATGAATCAGCGAAAACGCCTCTTTCAGTGGCAGCTACACTAGACGGCGAAAGAACCCTGACTCTTTCTGTAATTCAATATAAATTTCAAAAATCTATTCTACCCTAGTAATGAACGAGCACTCCCTTTTTTTGATTATTACTTTCTTTATAAATATCAAATAAAAAGATAAATAAACGATTCACCATACCGAATAACGTATATCACCGATATACGTTTAAAACTCTACGTGTCTATTTCATTTACTTTTTAATCAAATGATATTGCCGTTAAAAATAAACTCTTCAACATTCAAACTGGTTGCTAAATATATTACTTAGCTATTAACGATAGTAATGAGCTGACCACAATTGGCACAACGACGCGACCGTAACGTCCATTCATTGCGGGGTTCAATGTTCACGATGTTATGACTGTGACTGTTGTGAGTCAATCGTCGGTTAGCTTAAACATCTGCAGAATTATAATAATATTGATAAACTACGCAATGACGACATTACGCAACGGCAAAATTGGATCGGCATTGCTACCCTTGCTCCGAATAGTATATGCGGCGGTATACCGAATACCGAATATTCGGTGAGCCCCTGAATCTAAAACAAAACAAATGTGATGCGAATGTTTTAACTACTCGTGCGCGCCAGAAAGTAGTGAAATATTTCATTAAATCTTCACAAGTTTATTTATTAAGTAATGTACCTGTTTTATGTACAAAGTTTACTTCGATGACTATATAACCAAAAACCAATAATTAAGAGTAATTACTCTAATTATAGTAAGAGAACTGAAAAGGTCTCTATAACTCGCTGGCAGAACGGCTAAATCGAAAAACTCTCCTCGGTAGGCCCCGCTTGACGATCTTCGATTGGAGACAGAAAATGAACGTTTTTTTTTATTATTTTGTCAAATAGTAGGCACTGGGTAGATTGGAGATGCGGAGCGAATAAATGTGTTTCCCGCGTGTTATGTAAGTACAGCGATTACTCTGTGATCATCAACCTGGGTTTCCCTCGGCCGGCCCTCATCGCTCGTGAGCGGCCCAATAGCGGAAAACTCGCCAAAACGATGAGAACGAACGTCTAACGATCCGATTATGAATCGAGTCGGAATATCGGCGCAGACCGATCGCCGAGTTGTCCTCGCCTAACATCGTAGCGACACACGGTTTAGCTGGCATAAATATACTAAAATGTATTTTGTATAAACGTACTAATTAATGTTTCTTTATCTGTATTCACAATCAAACAAGCTTAATTAATATTTAAAACAATATTATTCTCATACATTGCTTATAGAAAAATGATAGGTAATTAAACCAAGCGAATAAGGAATTTAAGATGAGAAAATAATTAAGATAGAGAAAGAATTCGCTTTAACTATTTACTTATTTTAGCATAATTAGAATGACTAGTGTTCGCAGAGAAAACAAGTATTTCACAAATTAACAAGATTGAGCGCACTTTGTTGTGATTTTGTTAGGAAATAATAAATCGAGGTAGGCACGTCTCTTAAGTTAAGTTTGTAGGTGATGTAGAATGTTATTTAGAATTTATAATTTAAATAAAAAACTTTAGATCAATTTGTGGAGTTGTCGACAATTATTCGCCACAAATGTAGTTAAGTGGGTTATTAGATGTCGCGTGCGCGCGGCCGCGTGGTCTGCACCACGCGACGGGAAATCACCGCGCGCACACTTGCGCCCGCGCAGCCGCTGCCGAGCCTCGCGCCGCGCACGCGTCGCAAAACCCACGACCACATTACCAGTTTTACATAACCGTTTGCAAATTAGACGTTTATTCCGTACCTCCATATATTATGCGGGTTATTTTCATCTTCGGGTCGTTATTATTTTTACTATAGTGGGTTTTCTTTTTACTATTAATTGGGAATAGCTAGTCCTTAAAAGTTGAAAGATATATTTATAATAGGCAAAGACCGACTAAAACGGAAGCTATATGCCCTAGTCGAATTGATTATTCCGTCGCGTTGTCTTTCTATTCTAGCTTTGCGATAGAAAGAAAATAATATTAAAAGTGTAAAAATTACGACTACTACTTTAAAAGCACTATCTTTTCACGGCCCAACAATGGGTTACAAGAGGTCTTTACCGACCTTTCCATAAACGACGTGACTTCATTATGGCGACGACTTATCCACGACCACCTTCGATGAGGATGAAGCCTAACTAGAAAGTCTCCGCTAAGGAGGTGTGCACGAACACTTCGTGCATTTTAGAGGTTGTAGAACGAGGCTGTTAGATTACATAAGAGTGCGTCAGTGCAGGCGAGTTCAGTGGCAGGGCTTAGTCAGCGGCGTGGGGTAGCCCCGTGACGTGCCCTCGACGAGTCGTGTTTGCATCGCGCTCGCGGCGCACTGCACTTTCTCGCAGAAACGCAACCTTTTGATAACGAATTTTCAACTTCGACATTTTTCAACAACGATCATTTTTGTTTGATAGAAAGTCATGTAAACACTTCTGCTCGTCACTATTGTTAAAGATTTAAGTTAAAATAGCCCAGATACTATATATACTACCGTTAGGACGAATTTTAGACCAACTTAACCTCAACATTACAAACCACAAACGAATATTTTATTTACAAACGAACGAAACATTACAAAAACGAATATTGTCTTGTTCCCCTCAGACGTGTTAAATCGAGGTTGCCCTGTATTATCACAATAAACGAATTTCAATCGATTATTGTAACAAGTCGCGACAGATGAATCAGACGCGTTCGCTTTCTTCATGAAACATTTTAAATAAACAAAAAACAGCAATTAACATAAAAGACTAGAGCTGTTGCAAATTCTCGCCGCATTGCATCATTGGCGTCCGATCATTAGGCGTAACTCTAATTAGCGATCGACATGCGAGCGCAGATATGACTCACCGTATGTATAAAGAGATTTGGTGTCTACAGGACCATTATGAACTTATTTTTTTGCCGAACGAATCCTCCGAAAGGAGTCGTACCGGTCGCCCGACCCCTAGAAGTAAAGGTCGACGTGAGTCTCGCGACCTAACCGCAAATCACACGTCGAGCGTCAACATCCTTTCACATCATAATTTCGGACGAGAACATCTGAATAGGTCACGTCTGTGGTTCGCCCGATCCGCTTGTGGTTTTCATACAACTGCTTTTTCGTTTCTCGTCGGATGAGGCCTCCTTTTGCCGCAGCCCGCTTATTCCTACGCGAGACCCGACCTAACCTCGTCTTTGTTTCGTGACCGTTGGGCATAGATCGAAGGATAAAAGTGTGCTTCTTTCGCCATTGCGGTTTCAATCGAACACTGTTAGTTACTTTCACAAGAATAAGTCATCGTGTCCGATGGCACCCACAATTAAAATAGCGCGCGATCTTAATTGGCTTCCAGATGAATTGCCCAAAACGAAGCGAGAAATAATGAACGCCGACACATACATAAAGACCTCAACTCATTCGAGATTATGATTACTCTTGCCTCACTTTATTAACTCAGCAGACCGCTTCACTAGACAAGCGAGGGAAATCTGGGAAAACCTAACATGTATCTATAGACTGGAAAAGCCCACCTTTCACTCCGTTGTGACATACTCCGTCCAGTAACTCGGTGACATGAATATAAGGGACCGGTCTTATTTACTTGGGGTCGTCGTTTTCAAGGCCGAAGCTGAAATATTCAACGAATAAACTCTTTGTAAACAATTGAATACTCGAAATTAATCGGAATTCCCAATTGTACTACGAATTGCAGTGATCAGTTGGCACATGTGACGTAGAAACATTAGTGCTTTCTCCTAGGAGTAAGGGAAATTAAAATGTGGGGCCATCGGAGATCCGCCCCCGAGCGTACGGAGGTCAATGTCCGCGCGTGTGTCCTTAATAGACGCGAGGCGGGAATGCAGCGCGGGCCGGATACGTGACTGCGTGCGTGACGCAACATGCGTGTGCTGACGCGCCGTGACGTCACCGCCCGAGCCCCCGAGGCGGGCTGAACGGTCCCAAGTGAGATATCGGTGTTATATAGGCCAAATAACTTTCTTCGGCTCGAGTAGAACGAAGAGACAGTCCTCTATTTCAGTTCAAGAAAAGCAATGTTC